ATGAATATGGACACCTGTTTGTTGCTCCAGGCTCATCTTCAGGAACATGGTCTTTGTTTGTACCATCAATGTGGCCTCCACTCTCTTCCACTTCATGTGTATGTATATGAACACCCTCATGTTCAGCAACAGCCTCTTTGTTTGTACTACCATCATTATGCACATCTGTTTCTTCCACTCCAACTGTGTATATGACCTGCCTCATCTTCAGCACCAGCAACATCTACTTCTAAAGTATCTTCCACTCTAGTCACATCAATCTCAACCCCCATCTGCATTTCAGGTTGAGATGCTTCAGGTGCAGGCAGAAGTTCAACCAATTCCACCTCATCTAAGCCATGTTCCACAAATATGTCACACTTTCCACAACTAGTAGCCTGCTGTATGAGATGAAGGGTTGACTTATCATCAGACAAGTGTCTTAAAGATTTCATACTCTGCCTTGGTTTTTTGTAATACAGAGCCTTAATGTTACCATAGCTACCCGTTTTAGGCACTTCATTAAATGAGGATAGCAAATCAAATATGGGTCAATTGGTAAGACATCAACCGCACCACCTACGTATATTATCTCAGGAATAGACTTCAAATTTCCTCCATGGTGAATGATTAGTTCAACCTTGTCAAACATGCTGTACATATGAAAATATTGAAATCTGATTTGATAATGTGTAAATTTTTATTAGATAAAGAACAATGACCCAAACGAACGTTTCTCAAGTGCAAATGACTATCGTTTCACGTAATAATATCATCACAATAGCAACATTCATGCGACAAATACGAACACAAATCACCAACCTCATGTAAATACGGTAGACTTACAATTATAAACTAACCTGGCGTTTGTCTTCTTCACGTCGACGGTGAGAAGTGGATGACCAGCGTCGAGGAGTGCTATGTTGCTTATCTTCTCGCAGAGCTTCGAATTAAGGTCGTGAATGAAGGTTAGGGCACGGTGTGGTGTTAATTGGGGGTGGATAGTGGAAGTTAAATGATTTAACTGAGTCAACACCGAAAGACCGATAGGCAAAGTCCACGTCAGCGCCAGGAAGGCAAGCAACAGGCAAACCGGGAACCAACCGGTAGTGTAGACCTAATTGATTGATTTTGGAGACTTGGCAGATTCAATTGAAGGTTTTCGAAGTAGGAGGGCTCAATTGAGGGTTCGCCCATAGTACGAGGGTGTAATTGACAGTTTTCCCAAAATATTACTACACCTATTTGATTAATTAAGTTAAATATAGTTACTTATTATCCACCTAATTTGTCCTTTATCCATCCATTCGAAACTTCGTAAAACGTTATATAATTAGTATTTAAACTTTTCATATTAAAATCTCTAAGTGAAAGGATTGTACTAATGTAGAGGGTCTCGTCGCCATTTCTGGTGCTGAGGATGTAGCTTCAAATTGCATTGTTATTCAATAATATTATTAAATAATGAGTCAATTTGTAGCTTCATCCTCATCACCCCAAAGTAGTGGAGCATGATTGATTTGACTTTAATTGCTTTCTTTTCATTAAATAAATGGGGGAAGGAGCATATTGACCACTAAGGTCCTAGACCAAGAACCACATGACATATTAAGGTTGGTTTTGGAGCAAAGAGATCAACATTTAGTCTTTTGGGGGCATATTGCCCACCCACTCAGGAGTATTAATTTTGAACCTTTTAAGGCTACACCAAGGGAGGTATTTATAGGAGAAGTGCAGGCTAGACTCCCAGACTTGCGGCAGAAGAGCTGCTTTGTGTTATTTATGTGAACAACCATAAATTTCATAAAAATAGAAAGAAATGTGTCTAGAGTTAGTGTAATATAGCCCCAAATAGGAGTAATATAATTCCAAAATGTAAAAATAGAACTTTAGTTATTATATTATCAAAATAGGAGTAATTTATATTCTCTCTTCTTATTCTACCATTACCAATCAGAAAATCATATTCGAAGTTATAATAAAAACATGATGTCATTATTATTCTTTGGAAATGCCAAATTTTGCTCTGAACCATTCATCAACATGACACTATTGATGCAAAATGACATGTTCTTCCCTACGGTCGAAGGTGATAGTGTTAGAAGGTTATTGTGGCGGTGACATAGGCCGGCTTACATCTTTTCTTTTCTATTTTTTTATGTTTTATTATTATAAATGAAAAAATCTTATTAAAACATGGCAATGGTAGATAGCAAGAGTTACTTGTACTTTGAGAATTTAAAACTTATACTCTTATTCTTACATTTTAGCTTTTATTTACTTCTATTTAAAAAATTTACAAAATAACAAAAAATTGCTTACTCGGTTCACCCGATAAATGTTTTTGTTATTGGCATCATATTTCTTTTTTTGTTGGGGGGACTTGGTTTTTCTTAGTGGGGGCACACTTAATTATTTAATAAAATATAACTTATAAAACGGAAAATTTAGAAATTTATTGGGGGCATGTTCCCCGTTAAGGTGAACGTGTATCCGCCCCTGCAAACTTGAGCATAGGAGGCCCAAATACAATTATACAATGATGGATTACTAAGTGGCTAACACACGAAGTAAGCTATTCTAATAAGCCCTCACCATGATCATCCGGCTTCACCCTACTGCCCCGTGTGCGTCGCCGCCTTGATCCATGATGTGGTTAGGTCAAGCGGACTACCAGTCGGGCTTCTCTCAAAGCATGAAAGAAACTACAACTTCTCAAAGACAAGGATTCTAGAAGTGCTCCTTGAAGGGTCATGCCTTACTAAGTTTGACGACATGGCTCTGTACGACAACTAGTGTGATGTGGACCAATCTCAACCACGACGGTCTCACCGCCTCATCGACATTGAAGGCTTCTCCCAGAAAGAGCTCTTCGTCTGGCTCCCGATCAAAGGTGTCATTGTCAGTAATCCTTTAAAATTGTGACTTGGAATGATGATTTGCTATATAGTTTAAATTAAGGGTACTATGATCAAATTAGGCACAATTTAGTCATATGTTAACTACTAGTCCTACTTTTGGAATGTTATGATTAGGTCTTATATAGGTAATTTCCCCCTTTTTATTTGGAGGTAGAATAAATCCATCATCATCATTACTCCAGTGTCGCAAAGGTTCACACCTATTGTGGGGAAGAGGGGGTGTCAGATGTACGATGTCTTACCCTTGTACTACAACATAGGGAGACTGTTTCTGGATGATTCTTGTGAAAACCGCGTTGAAAATTACATGGATTTACTGATGGATAAGTGTACCCGGGGGGTATCTATCTGAGGGGTTACTGCGGGGAGTAAGTAGAGAGAAGTCAGAGCAAAAGTAAGAGAGAGAATATGTATTGCTGAGAAAGTATTGAGCGTATTGAGCATGGATTACAAATGGGGAAAATGGGTGCTATTTATAGTAGTAATAAATGCCAGATAATGACACGTGTCATCATTCTGGTGGTCGAGGGGTCACCTCAACGGGGTGGCACTGGCACTCGCATGTGGCTGCATTAAATGCGGTGGTTGGATGTGACGTTTGTACTCGGTACGTTGATCCAGCGCATGTGGGCGGGAGATCCTGTCGAGGAGATGCCTTCGGCTGTATGTGATTAGCCGAGGACTCTTCAAACCGGGGGCCCCTGTGTGCCGAGGGCTCTTAGGTACCGATGACTACTGTTTTTCGCCGTTTTCTCCCAGTACCTTCGTTTGCCTAAAACAGCTGTTCTGCGAGTTTATAAGCCTTCGGTCATGGGGGCTGAAGGCACCCCAGCATTCGTCGTGGGCTGTTTGGCACTTGGGGCGCTGTGATTCGGGCCTGCTGTACTTCCTGGGCCTATTGGGCCTTCGCTATAGTAATGGGAGTCTATGGGTCAGGGTTCCTGGGCCATATACTCCATCACTGACGTTTAATAACAAATAAGCACAGATAATTTAGTGAGCCACTTTGCTTTATTCTATTATATTTCCCAGCTAAAAAATAGGGTATATTTGGCACAACTAGCTGAAAAGATACTCTTGTGAGCTTTTTAATAACTGTTAACTTTTAGTGACTCAAAAGATCTTAAAAAGAAAATGTGGTAGCTGTTTGGTACAAAGTTGACTGTTTGATTTAGTTCGGTTCAGTATACAAACTGTTATGACTAATTAATACTAAAAGTCACGGACTTTTTTCCGATGCTACTCCCTGTAGCATCTCAAAAAAGATCTTTTAATTTTTAAAAAACTCTTAAAATTGTCATGTGTAGAGACTTTTTGAAAAGTACAAAAGCTAGAAGGTAGAGACTTATACCTGCCAAACGGAGCCACAATGAGTCTTTGGCTGGCTCCATTGTATAAAAATACTCACGTAACCTTTGTTTAATTTTGCACATGTTGATGATTAGTTTTTTGAAAATTCCCGAAATTTGGAATTCCAAATAAGAATGTTGTGTTTTCATTCCCTAATTTGGTGATTAAATTATTTGAAGTAATTATTATCGGTTTTGAAACTATTGTCATGTATAAAATATGGTACTACTAAAACATGACAACAATCATTCATATTTAGTAAATAAAAACATGACACTCTAGAACAGACTAATTTTTTACTCCGGAGATTTATGTTGTCAGTTTTTAATTTCATTTGCGGCATCGTATTTATTTGGAGCGAATAAATTGCAGTTTAATTTTGGGGAAAAATTGTGTCTCAGCGCCGCGTACTATCTTCCCCGATTTGATTTGGAACGAATATGAGAGCACCGCTCTGAATTAAATGCGACATTTGACCATTCCCTACTTTTATTCAATTTCAAATATTGTGATCAGATCCGATCTCCAATTGATCTACTGATTCTAGTCCGATGACTCCGGCGTGAATTCTTTGAGTCCGATCTGTTAATTTACTGAATGAAATTAGCAAGTGAAAACATTTAATTTAATTAAGATGGGACTGAAGTCTAACTTAATAAATGAAGCTAAGCTACAAACACCGACGACGGATGGAACGATGCCACCAATAAATAGCCTAGACGGTCCATTCTTTTGTCAACACCGCCATTAATGGCAATTACTACGTGTAGGAACGAAGGCACTATATATACATGCATCCTCATTCTATTCTCCATCATACACACTACACTTATATCTTATATTCTTGTCTAATCTAAAGATTTGAAGGTCAGAAATGGCGGGTCAAGGAAAGATTGAAGTGGACGTGGAGGTCAATGTTGGTGCAGAGAAGCTGTGGAGTAGCCTTAAGGACTCCATCACCGTCTTCCCCAAGGCCTTCCCTCAACAATACAAGAGTATTGAGGTGGTTGAAGGTGATGGGGTTTCTGTTGGCTCCGTCCGTTTGGTCACCTTTGCGGAAGGTATATATGCACCTACATTGATGTTTAGATCTGATAATACACCCACATTTTTAGATGCGCCCTTAGCTTGAATCATATCACAACAAAAAACACGTAATTGACAAGTATTTTGGGTAAGATTACCCAAAATGGGCAAAGGTTTTGGCAGGGTTGTGCCAAAATCATTTTGATTCGAGCTATTTAGTATGAAATCATCGATCGATTCGTGCCATATTCGTGTCAATCCCGTATTTTTTTTTAGAATATCATGCATGCATTGCATGCCTTTTTGTACGTACGTACATAACTGAGCATTTGCTGTAATTTTCTCAACATTCTTGAATCCAACTACCATTTCAAGCATATACTTAAATGTCAATGTGAAACCTCAAGTTTTAATGCACTAAAATGAGCACAAAAAAATTGATTTTCATGAACTTTAACATCAAATCAAATATATTAATTGCCTCTTTGTTCACCCCAAGTTGGCAAGTTTGGTGCTTTTTCTGTCCTAAAAAGACGTATGTTGTGTGCATTTGATTCAAAGATGGTATAGTACATATACAAGTATATTTTAATTTATTGTAGGTGTGGTGTTTTATTTACTATAAATACTAAGAAATTGGTTTTGAAATTTGAAGGGACACCACTGGTGACATTCTCAAAGGAGAAGATAGAGTCAGTAGATGAAGAGAAGAAGAGCTTGAGCTACAATGTGATTGAGGGAGATATCCTCAAGTACTACAAGAATTTCAAGGCTAATGTGGTTGTGACTCCAAAGGGAGATGGAAGCCTGGTTAAGTGGAGCTGTGAATTTGAGAAGGCCAGTGAGGAGGTCCCTGAGCCCAGCCTCATCAAGGATGCTGCTGTTAAGACCTTCAAGGGTCTTGAAGTTTATCTCAAGGCTTAATAATATATACTTCAATTAATTAACATCTTCTGATGAGTGGAGCCTCCAATCTGCTGGAGGGGTCAATCTGTGTTTTCTTTCAATACTTCAACATATGCATTAAAATATGAATAAATACAATTACCTTCTATTATACTTCATTATTTTGAGCCCAAATATATAATGTGTGTCCTGTGATATATGATGATAGTTGAAATCTCCGTCAATGAAAAATATAAGTAGTAGTTGTTAGGAAATAAAGAATTGAATTAGCCATGAGTATATTTAGTAATTTAGAAGTTAGATTTCCAAAAAGTTTTTTTTTTGTGATCCGAAGAAATTAACAATGACCCACAAGGCCATAACAACAACTTTAAAAGAAATTATGGCCAACCAAATAAATCATTTTTTTATCTTAAAAACAAATATGAATTATTAACTGACAACATGGGCTAACTCTTCCTCTTCTTCGTTCCTCTAGAAAATGGCCGCAATAACTCCCAAAGTCATTTTCAGATCTTCTATAACCATAATTACAAAAAAGAAAATAAATAAAAAAATAAAGAGTAGTACAGTGGGGTGGCCTCATAAGTCATAACTCCCATGTTACTAAATTAATGAATATGATGATTAAGAAAATGAGAAATGTACGATTATAATTTAAAAAGAGGATTTTACAGAGGTGAGACAAATAATATTACTAACGGTTTTTCCCTTAAAACGAAATGCATGCTATATATGTTCTTTAATGGCAAAGTACTTAATTAAACTAAATACATATCTTGTAGAGATGGAGATAGCCTTAAGCTATCCGCAAACCCAATAATAAAAGGGGTAGGATGAGAATTTCATGTGGCAAATGCCATTTGAGAAAATTTCTTTCAATAAATAAGATGGCTTAGATTGCTCCATTAGTCCATCTGCTCTTAAATTGCTGACGCTTTCTTTTTTATCCGTTAAAGAGGTACCCTTCATTTATTTTTAAGGGAAACATTATGAAGTAATAATTACACAATTTTGAGTTTCTCAATTAGTGATTAGTTTTACATAAGAACTGTTAAACATCTGAGAACTTGCAGAGGTCACATCAAGTGGGGCTATGAGGCCACTCCTTCCCTCTTTGTTTTTCTATTTCTTCTCTTTTAAACTATTAATATAAAAATTTTGATTTGAAAATGACTTTGAAAGTTATTACCAAAATAGTAAAGTGACCGTTAGGATATTGTAGAGATTCATATAGGCTATAGGAAAAGTTCAATGAAAGCTATCTGAAAATGACCACTCAACTAAAGCCATTTTCAAGTAGAGGAACTCGGAGGAAAATGGGAATGTATGAGGGAAATCAGCTTTCTTTCAGTTTCAAGCTCATTCCTGACCCCACCAATCACTTGTAACTTGTAAAGCAAAGGTAAGCAACACGTGCTACCTTTTCTCTTCTTTCTTTCTCTCTCTCTAATTAATATATTATTCTCTTATGCTTCAAGTTAGAACTTAGAAGTTAGGCTGCGTTCTTGGAGCCATGGCAGTGTCAGGTTTAGGAAGTCTTTTTTCTTAAGTTTTAACTCTCGTCTACATGTTTCATTTGTTGAATTGTCCAATATCACATTAGTTGTTGACTGTTATTGTGTGTGTGGATTAGGATTAAAGAACCATCTCAGTTTAAACTCAGACAGGCCACTAGATGTTGCTTTATGCATACTCCAACCAGGATTCTGATTCACATTTGTATCCTTGTTCTATTAATTTTGTAGCAGTGTCATTGCAGATGTTTCATACTTCATACATTCTTATTTGGCCGTGTTTCTTGTTATATGCATATAGAATTATTAAATCAGATTTCAGGCACGTATTTGATAAAAGCATGGTAGGATCTAATTGAAGAAGGGAACAAGAATATTGATATACTAACATGCCTTTTGGTCTAGTTACAGCATGGAATAAACGCAGGAGAAGCAAGTCGGAGGGGCAGATCGATCCATGTATGCATGTTTGTGCTTCTGCTTCGGTTTCAATCCCCTCCCCCCGCTCAAGCTTGTCAGAATTTGTATTTCTTATTTCTTCAAAATTTACCATTAGAAAGCATGCATTCTTTCAACAGGGGTATACAAACCTGCAGAAGAGTGGCATCTTGAAGATCTTAATCCACCTGCAAAAAGACACCATGGCTCATTAGTTTTTACACTCAAAGAAATGGAGGAGGCAACAAATTCTTTCAGTGATGAAAACCTCCTCGGGGAAGGAGGATTTGGTCGAGTATATAAGGGAACACTCCGCACCGGAGAGGTAGGAATTTGGTTAGGCCAACTTCTTCAAGGTTAAGCATTACTCATCATTTAAAATGGGGCTATCTTCGGTAAAATTAAACTTTTGACATGATCTAACGGCTGAAGTTAATATTTGATACTAGTGAGCGAAAATATGGATTTCTGAATTAATTTTTGGCCAAAAGTCGACGTTGGCCTGATTGGAATCTGTTCAGATGGCCTGACTTTAAGTGTGTACGTAAACTAAATTATCATAGACAATCTAATGTTATTATTTTTGTATCCAAAGGTTGTAGCAATCAAGAAGATGGACTTGCCATCATACAAAGAAGTGGAAGGGGAGAGAGAGTTTCGTGTGGAAGTAGATATCTTAAGTAGACTGGACCATCCAAATCTGATATCTTTGGTGGGCTATTGTGCAGATGGAAAACATAGATTTCTTGTCTACGAGTATATGGAAAAGGGAAATCTTCAAGACCACTTACATGGTTTGTTTGTTGGAAAAAGTTCTGTAAACTAGTTTTGAAGTCATATGCATGCATTTTACTACTCTAAGTGTTAGAGGTGGAATGCAGGGAAAGGAGAAAGGAAGATGGATTGGCCTATGAGGCTGAATGTGGCTTTAGGAGCAGCAAGAGGCCTTGCATATCTCCATTCAAGTCCTGCTGTTGGGATTCCAATTGTTCACAGGGACTTCAAATCCACCAACATTCTTCTAAGCACCAAGTGTGAAGCTAAGGTACTTACTCCAATGCTTTAATTTCACTCAAGAAGCTAGCCACACATATGATGATGAGCTCGTGATGCTTTTATAATACTTTAAAGTCCCAAATTTCTTCCCATCTTAACTTGTCACACTTATTAAGAATCTGAAATAGTATAGTTGTGGTTGACGTAACAAATGTTTCTTTAAAGAAAACAAGAAGAACATTTTGGAACATCCCGAAAAGGAAGGTAGGAAGAAATTCGTGGGCAGTACTTTCTACCACCCCAAAAAAGAAAACTCATGTTTGTAATTGTGCTTTTAGTGATAAAAACATTTGTTTTGGGACAGAGGTGGTACTGCTGTAATCATGGCTATCTTTGCAGATATCAGATTTTGGGCTTGCTAAGTTGATGCCAGAAGGAAAGGAAATATGTGTTACATCAAATGTGTTTGGGACTTTTGGCTACTTTGATCCCGAGTATACACGGGTATATTAAATGTTTCAAACATCCAATATTAAATGGAGTAGCATTTTTCTCTTCCTCATGAAATTACCTTCATTGTAGCAATAATAATATGGGAGAACTCACATTCCAAAGAGAACGAATCATAAGGTCATAAGAATAATTTCATAATTAGCCTACTGCTGAACTAAGTTGTGATCTCAATTAGTCAAATTCAGTATTTCATGAATAACCAGAGGATTGGTATGCCAATTGGCAATGAAAGTTGGAAAATGACTTCTGTCAAACATTCAAACAAACGAAAGGCAAATCATTTTTCATATTTTTGGGGTGATATCCCGTTTCAAGGCGAAATCGTTTTCCATTGACTTCATTTTATCCAACAAACCAAACACAGGAAACTTTTGGGAAATGATTTAGGAAAGTAATTTTCAAGATTTCCAGTGAGAGCCTTACTACATGTTAAAACTTATAATCCTGAAGTGACTTATTTCAGAAATATAATTCAGAAAGTCAAGGTAATAATTTATCATAGTATTTCCACCATTTTGATCTTAAATCACTGCCACACACATATATGCATATCAGTAATCTACTTAAGAATGAGAAAATGTGTAGTGTAACTATTATCATGTAAAAAAGCTTTATATAAATTCATTCTACGAATGGGATGGAGCACTTGATTCATATCACATATTGACAAAAGTTTTATCCTATTGGGTGACAGACAGGAAAACTTACTTTACAAAGTGATGTTTATGCTTTTGGTGTTGTTTTGCTTGAGCTCTTGACTGGACGTGGGGCAGTAGACCTCCACCTAGGCCCAAATGATCGGAATCTGGTACTACAGGTAATCTAACATTAAGAAGCCAGTCTAGCTTTAAGAAACATGAGCAAAAAAAGGATGAGTTGGCTTATTGCAACAGGTTAGGCATATTATTAAAGACAAGAAGAAACTTTACAAAGTGATTGACTCAGGGATGAGCAGGGGGTCATACACAATGGAGTCTGTCACCATGTTTGCAAATCTAGCATCGCGATGTGTCCGGTCTGATAGTTGTGAAAGGCCATCAATGGCAGAATGCGTGAGAGAACTCCAACATATTCTTTGTACAAATACTAGAGGAAAGGGGTTGACTATGCACATATTCAGAATGATATGAAAATCCACTGTTCCAGATCAGGGATTCCATGTCAGAATCTTTATGAGCTTTATTAGTGAGGAAGTCACAATGTTTTCATGCTAGCTTGTACATACATAGGATACATATATGAATATATCTATAGAGATAAAGTAGTTAAAGATCTGAATGAGGTAGTTATTATTGTGCCCAAATTGATGTGTGCAGTGTGCTTGACCAGAAGGGTATGGACAACAAGGGCATGTGTCTTAGGCTTATGGAAAAATCATTAAAAAATGGCTGAAATTTCGATGAATTAATAGGATAAAAGGTCTATCTCATGAAAAATAATAGTAGTCCTCCACACATGAAACATGTGTTGAGAAAGCAAACTGGTTGAGATTAATTTGGCGAAGTTATTAGTAAAGTCCAGCTTATTGAAGGGGTATGAGGAATTAGGACAAATGACAAGTGATTTTTTTATAAAGATATAATCAGGTTTTCTTGTCCCATTTTCAGATTTTGTACTCGCAAAGTTCCATACTCAAACAGCACTAACGCATAAGATGGACAAAAAAACAAAACCATATGACTTCAATGGAAAATCTATACATTGCACTTCATTCTCTTGATAACCTCTAACAAAATCTCATTCCATGTATCAATAGCCCCTGGCAAACACCAGTGAACACAATCGTTAGGTAAGCGATCCTTCACTCCATTTTCGAAAGGATTAGGAAGCATATATGGACCAGGGTGAGCATCCGGCCTAAGCAATGATAACTTAGTAATATCCAATGCCTCTAATCTAATCCTGTTCCCAAACTCCTTGGCCTTTTGTTTTGCTTCTCTCACTTCATAAATCCCAATCTTCCGCATATCTTCTTCCATCCCTTGAAGAACTTTATCCTCTGGTTCGTAGGGTAGGGTCTTAGAACAAGTACCCAACTTGTCCCATTCCCCTTCAAAATGTGCAGGAGGGAATGTTGTGAGAATAGCATTAATTGAGCCACCCGTAGGACCTTTTCGTTCAAGAATTGATTTTAAGGCAGTCTTGTATGCCATCCTAAGTGGGCCATCGAATCCAATTTCTGTATAATTCTTTCCTTCACAAATATGACAACCTAATGCCTCATCATTATAGAAAAACACAGCAGGAAGCACAAACCACTGCCCTACTGATAAAACCAAAATGTCGATCTTCCCTATATCAGAAGCCCACCTCTCATCCACAGACTCTAAGTTATGGACATTATAATTCTTTTAGTTGTTTTTCTCCACGCCCTTCACTAAAAATGGTGACCAGTAAATGGAGACATTCAAATTGTGGGTTGGAATGTACCACCTTCTGAACTGATTGTCCTCACCATGTGAATAAACCAATTCAGGTGTGGAAACAGTGGCTATCATGCACAGAAATGATTCCAATTGGTTCCTGGCAAGTGAATCGCCCACAAAGGCTAGATGCTTGTTCTTCAAGGTTTGAAGAAATGTTTTTGGATCAAACCTGGGAAGTTTGCAGTTTTCTGGGGTCCATCTCCAATACAGATATTGCTTATCAGGCCTTCCATGGCTCACGCAATTCCTCCCTTCTTTGATTGTCCCACAGCTTGTTTCATTGTATAATGGCCCAAGTTTGTCGTATACCCATTTCCCATTTGTGTAGTCACATGCATGTTCCTCTTCTACCTTACCTGCGATGAGCAAAAAGTAAAGATTCGGGGATTAGATACTTAGATGTGAAAGCTTTGGAAACATGAAAATTATGAAAATCAAGGTTTGTACCTTTTGGAGGGATTAAGGAAAGGGGGCGAGTTGAAAAAAGTGGTGTGATGGATAATGGGTAATTAGGAGAAAGTTGATAAAATTGGGAGTAGAGAGATTGTGCAAATATATAGATGAAACACAAGAGAATGAAGATTAAAGGAATGAATGCATACAATGGCCAAGAAAAGTTATTTTTCTGAACATTTATTTGTCTTGTTGTGGGCCTTGTGGCCATGTTATGATCCTCCTGTAACCTGTTTTATCCTTTCGCTGTGCTTCAGAATTGCATTTTTTAACTGTTTGGTTAACAAAAGTTATGTCATGCATAAATGCATTGCCTTCCTCCATGGGCTTGTGGTCTATTGTGGCCCCTTCATTTTTTTCTCCTTTGTTTTTGACCGTATGTTGATATTTCTAGACTCTCTTCCCAAATAGTCAAATACCATTTACCCCACACCCTCTTATACACCCAATTTAAGGATTCAGAGTGAACACACATATTTTAAGGTTTTTCACTCTGTTCATTGGTTGCACAGCTTGCACTACAAATGGTCCAAAGAGGCAATGAGGTCTGCTATTGCACTCGTCTTGTATCATACTAGATTTTCACTCGTGTGATGCACGAAATAAAATTTAGTAAAAGATATTGTATTGTTTATTCGTTGCGGAGTATATTATTATGGACTATTAACGGCAACATCAAATTTTCATAAAATACAATGTGTAAATGTATGAAAATAAAATATGAGGTATTATGTAATTAAGCTAAGGTTGTATTACTACGAAAGAAAGTTAGTGGAAACAATGTTTTGGAAGAAGACAAAAAATGAACATTACAAATTGTGAGCAACCTACTCTTTTTAAAACACTTGTAAATAACATTTCTAGTACGACTGATTTATCATTTTCATCACAGATCCATATTTTCATACATTTACTATTTCACTTTTCCAAACATAGATTTCCATTTGTTATAGCTTTCATGTACCCGTTGTTCCCATTGTTCAAACATTCTGGCCTAAAAGTATGTCATGTTTGTGTTATAAATACAATCGAGATTAGGAACACAAATGTTAAATGTTTCTATTAAAATACATGTTAATGTTGAGAAGATTTCAATTCTATAAGAATAATCTAGTGCAATATCTTCAAAAGCCTTGTATTTGTGATTAGGCATGGACAGATCCCGGTTTCGGTCCCGGAATTTGGCCCCTTATCAGCCGAAACCAACGCAAAATAATACTTGTTCTGGGCCCCATCCACGTCAATCTCAATCTAGTCCCTTTTTTTATAATCCAGGTGTCGGGGCTTACGCTCCCATAATCCTGGAGTCTATGAACTACCCTCCAAAGCCCCTAGACAGTTAATTCCGGATCTGATCACAGTCAGCCTTGTCCGTACTGGCTCCAAAGGACGAATCCAGCAGGACTTACATCACCTTTGAGGCTCCTCCTCCCACCACACGAACCCGCTACCTCCATTACCATCCTCTCCCTTCTCAGCCGCTGAGCAACTCCGTGAAGGTAGGAAGAATCATTGGAAGCAAGATCTCCCTCATCTCCCCTTGATGGGAATTGAACCTAAGACCTCCCACAAAGGAGAGACTTGGGGGTGGATGGTCATCCAATGGACTACACCCACCTTCCCTAGTCCCTTTTTTTGTGTTTTTAAACCATCTTAGCTCCCTCCCTACCCTTTCAGCTTTTAAATGAATTTATCTCTTTTAAAATGCTTATACGTCTTGAGGTGGGATTAACCCCTGTAATATGCACCATGATAGTGAGGACGGATAGTACTCGAGGTAGGCAAACCTCAAGATATTTGTATGTATAAAATGTACGTGCTTAGTCGGGGACGAGTCCGCACTAACGTAACTTCCTTGGACTAGGAAATGATTTGGATCATGTTCGTGATTAGGGAGCCCGAAGGGCCAACCACGATTATATCGGGTGAGTTAACGCGTATAACTTCACCCGAGGGTATGACATGGGAAAGGTGAATCAAATGAGGTTCTTATGCCTAAATGATTTGAAAATACGAAACGGGTCTACAAGACAGATATTTGACTCATACATATATATACAAATATCTTGAGGTTTGCCTACCTCGAGTACTATCCGTCCTCATTACCTCGAGTATATATATATATATATATATATATATATATATATATATATATATATATATATATATATATATATATATATATATGTATATGATATGTTTTGAAATGATGTAGCTAGGTGTTATGCCCATAAGCATATTATCACTCTATGTTGAGGGCCTTGCGTTTTAAACGTTAATTAATCTACATATAGCCTGCTCTAGCCAGTACTTGTTCTGTATTACTGACCCTTCAGAGCACCTCACCATTTTCATATCAAAGTTAGAGCTTACTTCATGTACCCGTTGTTAGAAGATCGATGGAAAAAATACGTGGTTCATGCTTCATTCGGTTCTATTTCTAAATAAACATTTAATGTCACATAATATTTTTCAACTTATAAATTGTTTGGAGCTTGAGAGCTCTTGTTTGATCATGCGTGAGTTCTTATTAAGCATTAACATTCCGTTGTGTATGTTTACTAACTGATTTGGTATATGCATCTATCGGGCGTATTGTGCAATTTGGTAAGGATGAACTGTGATTATCCCTGTTAGGTCATACGACGGTTGTCTACGTGATACAGACGTGGTCCGGGGTGTGACATTAAAAGGCAAGGCAAAAGAAAATTACAACCACTATAATCTAATACTCCCTCCTTCCCTAAATAAAAGTATCTATTTTCTTTTTGGTCCACCCCTAAGTAAAAGTCTCTTACCTTTTTTGGCAAACAAAACAGTGCAAAACAGTATCAACAATGCTAAACAGTGTCTAACAGTATTTCATCTAAAGATGTGTGTCATTCAAACGGGGCCTTTTATATAGGGACAAAGAGAGTATCATCATTACATGGAGACCAGAGGTACACATAACACGTAGGTGGGAACTCAATACATGTGCAAATCTCGGATATCACAAATAAAAATTAGAAGAGAAATATTCAAATGAAAAGTAAACAAATCGACATGCATAATTATTGGGAAAAGTACGGAAAAGGTACTTGTGATTCAACCCGTTTTCAGATATGGTCATGTGTTTCGTTCTTTATCAAAGTGGTTTATGTGTTTGAATTCCATTATCACAATAGGGCCACACCGTTAAAAACATCTGAAAAGGGCCATTAAAAGTAACTCTGATTTTCAAAAGTGCCCAAAAATTAAAAGAAAAATACTGGAAGGTGCGCCTCAATAAGATGACCGCTGGGTTATCTTTCTTTTTTGTTTTCGCTCACCTTTGTCACCGGAAAGTCCATCAGAAAAGTGATATTAGCGAAATCATTTTTAAAAAATAATTCAAACAGATCTGGAAAATCCAAAAGCGAAGGTGGTTTCGAGGTCATCTTGACGTGACGCACCTTTCAGTATTTTTCTTTTAATTTTTTGGCCATTTTTGAAAATCGGAGTTACTTTTAACGGTCCTTTCGGACGTTTTTAACGCTGTGACCCTCTTGTGATAACGGAATTCAAACACATGAACTACTTTGACAAAGAATGAAACATATGACCCTATCTGAAAACGGGCTCAACCATAAGTACATTTTACCTACTTTTCCCATAATTATTTCATGAGTACTAAGATGTAGTTCATCCATGACACAAAGATCTTTTTCATTCCTATGTCATATCCAATTAGTCAATCACTCTTTTGTATTAAGGTTATGCATGTGTTTGGTTAATGGCGTTTCACCCACCAGCATGATGCATATTAATCATTTATAAAAGAGAATTTTACCCGAAATAGGACTAAAACAGTTTAAAAATTCCAAAATAAGATTGCCATGTTTTATCCCCAAAATAGGACTAATTACTGTCATGTTTTGGCTGTACCAGACTTCAAACATGACAGTATTTTCTAAACATGACAGTAATTAATTCTATTTTGGAAATAAAAAACTTGACAATCATGTTTTGGAATTTTCAAACTGTTTTAGTTCTATTTCGGGAACTTTCCATTTATTACAATGTTTATGTGTCCTTTAAAAAAACCATGTTTATGTTTAAAACGCTTTTACCCAAACAAACCCTATACTTAAATATTTATATTAAGAGTATTTCTGTATATTAAGAAATAATAATCTGGCCTCATTAAAATTCTATATTATTGGTGCCCATTTTTTAAAAGATAATACTATCAATCGTACAAGGATAACAATGAAAGAGAATATAGATGAAAGCTCTGTGGTATAGGACCAGCGACTCCAACAAAGCTCTGGGCTCTGGGGCTCTGGGGCTATTGCTCTGCTATTTCGCCATGAATGTTGCTCTAAACACAAGATACGTCAATTAAACTTCACAGCGTAAAGCGTAGTAAATGAGACTAATTAGGTTCTAGCTGCTGATTCTGAGAAATGAAGAAAAGTAATAATGTGTTGCCGATTCCATGAAGGGCATATCATCCATATCTGCAATATCCTCCTCCTCAATCTTTCTTCTCAGATTGATTGGTTGTACAGATGGTTCTAGATGCAGCTATCGCTATTCGAAAATCGCGGCAAAGAAGAGCAATAACAAACACCAGCAACAGCCATCTTCTCCGAAGGTACATCTCCTTCGATGAATTCCCATTTTCTGGAATAGTATTTTTATGCTTTAAATATTCAGGTTGACTCTTGATTAGGCCCTCTTACCCCATAGTACATGTTTGTTTTAAAGCTAAACTAGGTCCTATCTAAGCTAGCACAGTCAGTGCATTACTTTTTAATTGCCTATTCAACACATTAATATCTTGGATTTAACACTCCGGATATTTCCAGGATCAAGATAAGTGTAAATTGGTCATCATGCTGCATAAGCTGTACTGCAACGCATTAGTGTGTGTTGTGTGTA